TCAATGCGTCAATGGTGACGTTCTTGCCAAATTTCAGCTTTCCATATGTCTCCGCTTGAAACAAAAAGAACTATTTGAAAATATGTTCCCCGAAAGGTGTGCCCCTATGGCATGCATCACCAAAGTAGAACTTTTCCTTAACTCAGCATGCAAATGGCTACTTATGTCAGTCAGTCAGCTACTCACGATCGTCCATATATATTAACATTAGAATTTTTTCATCACGCAGGTATCCATCAGGTACTTATTTGCCAAGTTTTTTAACTCTCATGCGCCCTCTATTTTGCTAAATCAGAAAATTCGTGAAAATACGTCTTTTGCAAAATATGTGCCCTGAGCCGTTTTAACCGAAACGTACCTTTTTTTTTATCGAAATCCATCCTCAGTGCCTACATGCCCACAGCGTTTCAATATTAAACGTTTGCCCCTTTCGCTGGTGAAAAAACATGTTTAGAATAGCTGACCCACCTAAAAGCTAGGGCATTTACTTCCAAAGTCTGAAGTTTTCTGCAGCATCCTAATAGGTAGTTATGTACCATCTTTCCACACTAGCTTAGTACGCCAGGACAAAAAAATTCTTGAAAACGTCGGCTCACAAAAATATGCCCCCAGGGCATGGGTCTAAAATTTTGTATTTTTCCTTAACACGTTGACGATATATCCCGAATTTCTTTGAGAACTGCATCAAAGATCAGGTCGAACCATTTAATAAATTACATATACTCCTCCATAGAACACTTTTTCACTTCGCCCTTACACCAGGACAAAAAAAAATTATTGAAAACGTCGGCTCACAAAAATATGCCCCCAGGGCATGGATCTAAAAGTTTGCATGTTTCCTGAACTCATCGTCTCGGTAGGCTCCACCATGCCAGGTTTCAGCTTTCCATGTCTCTCTGTTTTACTCAAGCAAAAATAATGTTATGGAGGGGGAATGAGTAATAGGACATGGAAGGCAAAAAAAAAACAAGAGAAAGCCAAGAAATGACCGAGAATTGAACCCGGACTTCCTGATTGCCAGTTCGATATGCTACTACTACACCACCGAATCCAGGACATCCACGTGACTCTCTGAATGCCATCCTCATCTGTCACAAAATATATTTAAGAAAAATGTTTCCCCCCAAAATTTGTACCTCCAGGGCATGTACCTCCAAAATCGGATTTTTTCTGAACTCTGCATCCCAAAAGGTACATGTGTACCAAGTTTCAGATTTCTAACAATTCTAGAACATGGTTAGAATCAGCGTCAGTCAGTCACGATCGTCTATATACATTATTATTAGTATATTAGCAACATGGATGCAGAAATCATTTCTTCATAGTTCTTCCATGGTCCCTCTAGAATGCTTGCGTGAAGTGCTAGCCCCTTCACTTGCGGTTTGCAGAGAGTGTTGTCAATTTTTTCATTCAAGTCAATTCCGGGGAATATGGCCATCTCGATTTGGGGTAATATGGACACATCCTTCATTTCCTGTTAGCAATGCAATGTTCTATTGGTAGTGTCAGCTTCCTTTCATGTGGGATCACAGGCTGCAAAAGATCATCTAATGCACTTCCTCTGGATATAGGGATAGATGTACTGCTCATCTAGACGAAATATGCAGTAAATGAGGAGGCCGTGTATGAAGACATGCTCATGCACTGCCTCCTTCGCCTGACATGCTCCATAAATTTTTCCGCGGCACGAAATTTGAATGCAAGTAATTATCCATGGCACAAAAGTTAAAACGGCTTCCTGTGATTTTTTGGGCCCTATTTATCCATACATGCAAAAACCAACGAAGCGTTACCCTGCAATGTGAGACCACTTATTTTATACTACAGTAGTAGCGCATGTTCACTTTAACTTATGATTGATCTTCCTCATTATTGCAATCCTGCTTTTTGCAAGAGGTCCTTGAGTCGGATAATAATGTTGACTTCTTTGCTAGTCCTCAATGCCCTTAATGAATTATTTTTCTACTGCTGAATCTCCCTTATTATGTTCCACGGTACTCAGTATATTCCAGCATATTTCACGCTGACCTGGAAAACCTTGAGCTGTTTTTGGAGGAGTGGCCACATTCAACCGACAATACGGATAGTATGGCCTCTTAGGACCAACATGGAAAAGATCCAAAGGTGCAGTATCCATGCGGTTTTTGCATGTACCTTGCTGCGATTTAGTAAAGTATATATGAATCAGAATTTTAGAAACATTGTAAAAGTCAAATTCAACCTTGATGGACCGTTATGACCAGGGTTCATTTTGTTGGTCCATATTCCCTCAAATTACCTAATTACCCTAATTATGGAAAATATACCCTGTTACATAAGGAAGTGGTCAACATACAATTTTTATTATTCGACGTTTTTTCTATGCACCAACTTCCACGAATCTTCCACCGTCAATCCATCGTTCTAAAGTTCGCATGTGAGCATTGACATCACTTTACGGAGTAAAATTCGAAAAGGATAGTATTTTCTTGCACTCATTACAGTGCATGCCTCTATCGCGGTCGTTCGCCACAAAAGCAATATATATGAGTAATAAATCATTTTCCTCTCAGAATGCACTGTTGAGACCTTGAGTCTTCAATTCAACAAACTAGGCAATTTGGGATAGATGTGATAGAGATATACCGAGGAGGTGGGCATGCAGCAGCCCAGAGAAGATGTGAATACCCTCAGGAGGAAGGAGCATCTTCGTGCATTCCGCAGAACAGTGTCCCACAGTCATGAAATTGTTCAATCCAGGTGGGACAAGCTAAAAAAGAAAGACGAGATTGGCAGTGGGATCCAGTCGTATTTCCAGGAAGGTACAAAGGTTGGAAATTTATACCCTTGTAGGTGCGACTAACGATAGCCTAGTGATATGAGCGCAACTTGCAGGTAGTCACTTGAAGAAGCACTAGTTAGCTACAGTGCCATTGATCCAGTATGAAATTGCTACATGCAAAAAAGGAACAGTCTGCATCGACGAGTTATTGCGTGTCAGTGATACATTGTACTTTGCTTGTGCTATTAAAGACTTGAAATTAGTCAACAGAATGGAAAATGAAAATCTCATCCATGTTATAACGAAATAAGCTTGTCTAAAAGCAATTTTACCCTCTGTCGTGCTTTTGTGCGTTGCTTGTGCGATTTTGTAATTATTGCAAAATTCGCGTCTGGACGCGTCCACGAACGTTCAAGCGGAAGGGATCGCGCTTGTGCACGCATGTCCGGATATATCCGCACAAAAAGAGGAAACGCAAAGCTCATGTCTCAAATCAAGCCTTGGTGGGATGAGAGATAAAGCTATCCTAAGATTTAAAATTTTTTGACTTGGCTGTTCTGAAGTGGGAGAAATTCGGCCGGAGCAAAAGTTCGATTCATTCAAAGTAGTTGAATGTTTAAAACAAACACTTTTGCAGAAAAGGGATATCGCTTCGGCACATATAAATGAAAGTCGACATAAGAATTCAAAACTTCGAGAATTGAAACGGAATAAGTGCTTCAAGATTTTGTGAGGACTAAGTTTATCAGAAAACTTCCAATTGGAAACATTTTTTTTTTCTCATTAGTTGACTTAGTCATTAGTCACTTAAATCACTTGACGTCTGTTATATTCTTCTCCCTGCTGTTCGTCGCGAAAAATCTTGAGCCAACATCTTTGTCGGGGATCACGTAGATACGACCAGAGACGCCACGGTCTATTCAGGCATTGCTGCACATTAAAGGCATATTGAGTAGTGAGATCCAGTTGTGCCATACTGCCGCGGTGCCTAGTGCTGCTTCCTCCCTCATTCCGTGCCATTTCACAACAATCACATTTTAGGCAAATCACTTAGATACTTCGAATAAATATACATGTAGGAAATAATGTGAAAACCTATTTTCAATGGCTTTCCCTTTCTTTAACTTCCCCTCTTCTCTACGCGACTCACTAACGTTAGGCCTAGGGCTAACCAACAGAATGCCTTCTGGTAACTCCAAGGCCTACCTTTTCTTTCAAAGGAGACTAAATTCTCGACTAACGAGGATAATTAGGCCTAAAAGTATGAATTCGTCTTGAGACATGTCGTCGTTAGGCCAATCGCAGGCCTATTCATAATTTCATGAATCATTTCACAGAGGACGTGTAACGTTAGACCAATTCGAGGCCTGTTTCGCGTTTCATGAACCATTGACGTGGAGCGTTAGGCCTATCTGGAGTTCCTCGAATCATATCGAATAGGTCTGAAGAGGGAATGCCTCCAAGAAGAATTTAATCCATGGCGCACGCCATTCTGTTGATTCCGGGATGTCCGGATGACATATCTCGATATCCCACAATATCGATCAATCACCGCTTCATTCTCAGCTTAATTCAGGAATTCAGGACGAAAATGTATCATGCATTAACAAACAGAGGATCCAGACGCCGATACGAATGTTGAAATAGTCTTGAATCTGGCGAAATTTCGGCACGCTATCCGGCAACCCTGGGGACCGTACCGGAACAAGTTCTCTAAGCCTAATGGAACACAGCTAATTTCACTTTTCATGGCGAAATGGGGCATCACAAACAACCAAAAGACCAATTTTCGTCATCTGCCAGTCAATATCTTTCTCATGTCTTAAATTCGCTGGAAATTCTGTGTTGAGAGAGGAAGAAGCAAGCTAAATTCGTTCCTGTTGATGCTCTCAGAGTGGAGTACGAGGAGGTTGAATTTCACTACGAGAAGGGGTTGAAGAAAGGTAATAAGTTCTACCGCGCCTATAGATGTATAGCTCAACTATTGGGTGTTGATTAAAAAAATAGGTTTCATACGTCGATCATGCAAATTCGAGGGTTGGGTCTTTTCGATGAGTTGCAAGCAGCAGAATGAAGTTCATCTCAAAAGTTAGTTCAAGTGATAAAGTTCATGAGAAAATCTTATTATATACAGGTCATTTACCTGGGTCATCTGCTGTAATACTGGCTTGTGGTGTCACAGGTACAGCATCCAGGCCTCTAATAGGCACATTATTTAGCATTCCGGCCTTAGCAGCATCTAGGGCAGCTGCTCGTACCCCAACAGCATTACGTGGTGCAATAGGTAATATGTTGCTCCCTCCGAGGCTGCTTTAAGGGGGAAACCTGTCTGCTCTGGATAATTTTCTCCCTGAAATGAAGACGTGTGAGTAAGGAAAGCATCCTCACCATGAAGGGAAATATTTTGACATCATGAAGGGTCAGGGAAGCTTTCGTTTGGAAAAAAAAGTAGCCCACGAGTTTGTCTCCAAACTAATAATGCAGTTAAGAACAAAATGTTAATATTGTCATGCACATGATGAATATTTTCCCTTGGTAAAAGTCATTTTCTGAAAGTCAAACATATTTTTTAAAGCTTCAATATTATTGCATATGTAATAATATTGAAGCAAAATAATTTTTTTTGAAACAGTTGCTATTTTTACGAGGTCACATAGCTTTCGGATTTCATTACTGGAGTCTTCACTCTTATGATACAATTGCGATTGGTGGACGCCGTTGGTGTTGGCAATTCATTTCCACTTATTGGCATGGAAACACCTTCATGTGCACTTCTTTTCTTTCATCTGAAGTGAATAAGTTGTGTCCGAATAATTGAGCTGGAAAAGAAACAACCAAAGTTAAAAGATGGAAGATGAGGAACGTTACCACTCCACCGACAGCCCATGCCATGAGGACACTTTGGCAGTTGCTGATGAGGCTATTCATGTTGGCATCGAAACAAGATGAACCCTGGGGATATTCTTCCAAAAACTGCTCGAAGCCAGCAGTTTCGTCCTCGTTCTCCGTGCACGTAGTTACTACGAAATGGTGGACGTACTCTTCATTCCCTTCCGTTACCCACGGTTGGTACTGTAACAATCAATGACGTGGATGAGGTGAATTATGATTCAGATCTATAAAAATATGCTTTAGCATTTGCACTTTCCAGTTACCCCGATTATGTGATGCTTGACGTCGACCGGGGGAGCTTTGAATACACTGCACCAATAGGTGGTATGAATGGGAGGGATGATGATGTCATTTCTCAATTCCCATTCTTTCACGCCAGGCTCATCTGGTATATCCCCTGTCATTGTGAAATGGATAGAAAAATCTGCATTCAAGTCCGTCATAAATGGACAGCTCAGGTCATCATGTATCTGAAGTAGTACCGATCTGTGGATCAAGCAGATTGTGGCTCATCTGGTATATCCCCTGTCATTGTGAAATGGATAGAAAAATCTGCATTCAAGTTCGTCATAAATGGACAGCTCAGGTCATCATGTATCTGAAGTAGTACCGATCTGTGGATCAAGCAGATTGACAGATTTCACTCCGCGATTGTCCCGCCCATGATAGAAGGGATCTTCCATCTCCGGATCAGTCTCCCCATATGCATAGATGAGGCTCCACGTGTCACTCTGTGTTTGGAGAACCACGAATTAACGTCTTTATATATGTCTTGAATCATGGGAAAAAGAAACTATTTAGGACATACGGCACATAGGTCATATCGGGCGAGGTCAATCATATTTCTACATACTGAAATTCGAAAATAACCGTAAATCATAAGAAACAAATTACATGTTTGTATTGCACGGACTGTTGCTCTTTTCTCCTCATTTTTTAATGTTTACTAAGGACGTTTTTTGCTATAGACATGGAAATGTAGAGAGATTTCGCTTGAAGTTCCTGCATAGTATCTGGTGGGGGAAGAAGCGTGTCTTGGTTGAATCTTTATAAAGCCAGCCTTGGAAATTCTAGGTTCGTAATATTGTCGCATCACATTGTAAATGCTACAAAATTTGAATCCCTAGACCCGAATGCTGGAACCACCTTCAGTTTCCAGTCCTTTAATAATACATGGACTCCCGTTAGCGAAAAAGATTTATTCAGTTTCAAAGCCCCGTCATCTCCCCTATCCATTCAGGCCTGAGACTCTCAAGTGTCATGGTTGCCATGATTAAAAGCGACAATCATTAAAAGTGCAACCATGGAATACATCGTACAGTCAAAAAATTTCCATAGTAGTCCAATACAACAAGAACTGTTATGTGTAACTCCAACTTGCATCATTCACTTTTCAACTAGTGTTCCCCCTGCTTCTCTTTGCCATTTCTTTTTAATCCACATTTTGCAGCACTGGACGAACTTATCTTAGGGGTATTTCGCAATCGCAAGAAAGTAGCACTTCGAGAGATAGCAAAGTCCACGAAGTTACTTCATGAGTTTTCCGAATTACCAGAAGTCACAAGGGGGGCAAGATCTGGAAAGTCGGGGGGGGGGGGGGAGGGATGCGGCAGCCCTTCAGTGCATTTTCCTTAAAGGAAGTCATTAAAAAGTTGAGCTTAGAACTATGCTGAGTCCTTCCCACCCTAAAAGTTCACGACTGCGGGCAGTGCTTCCAGGAATTCATCCTGCATCATCCAATACTGATTAATATGTGGGACATTACATTACTTTGGGACATAACGGGCCCAACATTGGCAAACATCCTTGGGCGAACCATTACTTATCATCGTTAAAGTGCTTGGGCCTTCCTTCGTCTTGGCCCAAGTCTCATCAGCCAGAGGAAGGCCAATCAATACGACCAAGAATGGCGCATTATTGGTAAAGTCCTTGGGCCTTTCTTGGCTGCCAGCAAACAATATGTTTTTTCCACACCTGAAAAATCTTAGACGGTAGCTTATAAACAAATTTTGAAGTTCGGTTATGAAAATACGACGTTGCGCTCACCGACAGTCTACAACGCCAAGCACATCTGATCATTCTTTTTCTCGTGAGTGTCGGACCTCCGAGGGGATGTTGGGTCGAGTAGGTGTGCGCTGATTTTTCGCAACCGAAATTCAATCATTTTCTTCGAAATCGCCGTTTAATAAATTTCCAAGTCTGCGAAGAACATCTTGTAGCTAAGTCTTTCCTCTTTCCATTACATGTAACCAGAAAGAAAATCCTCCACTGCAAAAAATAAAGGCTCAAGAGTGAAACTTTTATAGTACCATTTTCGTTTAAGAGATGATACTGATTCTAAGAGCTACTACGATCTTAGATCGTTAATGAGGCAGAACATGAACACTACGGCCTAGGATAGTCGGACGATCACTCCAACTGGTAACTATTGCTCACATTTAGTGGAAAACGGTTCTACCCTCTAAAAGTAAAAGTTCGAATTGGAAGCATTTTCGATGAAATATTTAAAGAACCATTTTCCGGGAATCAAGCATAAACGAGCTGAAACTGCATAGCTCTTGGAGTTACCTGGATCTGAGGACTTTGACACGGTAGATGATCAATTCTACGATCTGAGACATTAACATGATAACTCCCACTAATTACTATTAAGCAAAGATCGGGAAAAAATGGTTCTAGGGATCAGAAAACCCAGATTCTTACCGAGCCCAATCCTTAATAGTTCCAGAGCTACCAAGTTATTATAATGCGCCATAATGTCAAATAGTGTTTGAAGTGAACTTGAAACAATCCCAAATGGTTTCTCGATCATCGAAAACCGCTCTGAAATCTGAGGGTTCTATTCCTAACCATTATTTTATACAGTGAAATAATAAAAGAAAGTGTAAAGTTCTCCACGTCGGTCGAAACAACGGTAGGTCTCTCGACACGTTCGGCGATGTTAAATTGGATGAGGCAAACGGAGAGAGAGATTTAGGTGTTTCTTTCGATGAGGACCTCAAGTTTTCCTCGCAAGCGCAAGCGACGGTGGTCAAATGCAAAAGGATTCTAGGTTACATTCGTCGTTCGGTTGCAAGTAGGACATCTTGCGTTATTCTTCCGTTGTATGCGGCGCTGATAAGACCCCAGTTGGAATATTGCATACAGTTTTGGATGCCTACGAATAAGGGCGATTTGTTGGCGCTCGAGGGAGTACAGAGGAGGGATAAGAATGATCCAAAAGCCATAAGAATGATCAAGGAGGTCAGGGGACTATCATACGAGAAGCGTTTAGAAGTGTTGGGACTGTACTCGCACGAACGAAGGTTAAGGAGGGGCGATCACATCCAGGCTTTCAAGATAATTAAAGGAATAGATAATGACGAGTGTGGTAGGTTTTTCCAGTTTGATGGCAGCAAGAGAACGAGAGGTAACCGACTTAAGTTGCGCAAACCGCAGGTGCGGCTCAGGTCGAGACAGGAATTCTTTACTTGCAGAGTGGTAAACGCGTGGAATGCTTTAGATGACGAAGTAGTGGCTGCCCCTTCTGTGACTATCTTTAAGAAGAAACTGGATGGTTTCATGGACAGGCAAAGCGGTGGGGGGCAATGTTGACATTAGGTACTCGACAGTAAGCAACTAGGATAGTCAAAAAACAAAAGAAAACAAAGCAAAAATTAGCTTTAAGAGGGTTAGGCCTACCCTAAAATTAAGGAACGCTCGACCTCGACAAGTGATATCGAAATGGGCGAAATCGCCTCTTGATATCACTAACAGGTATCTTGAATCTTGAATCTTGAGAAAATCTTGAATCTGTGAAAGCATCACACAAAATGCGCATTGAAAAGTATGTCCTTTTGGGCGACACTGTAGGCCTATATATATCCATTCCAAACAGCATGTTGCCAACTCACATGGTTGGCCTAAGTTGGCTATGGGCCTTGTGGTGGCGTAGGACATCATCGCTGTGGGCTGCCAATGTTGGTCGTATCTCTGGGCTTTCCAGTTTTAGGTGCTACTGGGTGTAACAGCAGATATTGACCAAATGCTGGATCAACATTGGGCACGTTGGCAGCACCTTGGCCAATATTGCTAATATCGGCTAAATATTGGGGACCCTATATTGTAATTCTATTATCGATCCAACAAACGGACCGACAAGATAATCCAATGTGTCTAAGTTGCACTTAAACGATTTTGGGAAATCTTGAAGTTCTCCTTCAGGCCACTAGAAGAAGGTATAGGTCTCTTTTTCGCATAGTACACAGAAGTTCCCTTCCCTGTTTCTCAGTAATTGTCCCTCACAGGAGTGCTTTGTATTTCGCTATATGTTTCGCCAAAAATTCATTATAAAAATCAATAAACTCAGACATTTCATCATTTGCTATCCGTATATTCGAGAAATAATCATGGAGCCCAGGTCATAAACAAGCTCAGATTCCCTATGAGAACCCTTTAGGAAAATGGAGAGACTCTATCTAAAAGGTGTTTCTAAGGTGGAAAAGCTCAGCGGAAGGAACGTTTCTTGGGCCCATACATCGGAATCCATCATAGTCCCTACAATGAGCCAAAGTGTGTGTGCTGCCCTTGGGAGGTNCGAATAAGGGCGATTTGTTGGCGCTCGAGGGAGTACAGAGGAGGGATAAGAATGATCCAAAAGCCATAAGAATGATCAAGGAGGTCAGGGGACTATCATACGAGAAGCGTTTAGAAGTGTTGGGACTGTACTCGCACGAACGAAGGTTAAGGAGGGGCGATCACATCCAGGCTTTCAGGATAATTAAAGGAATAGATAATGACGAGTGTGGTAGGTTTTTCCAGTTTGATGGCAGCAAGAGAACGAGAGGTAACCGACTTAAGTTGCGCAAACCGCAGGTGCGGCTCAGGTCGAGACAGGAATTCTTTATGTCACGATATTGTATATAGTGTTTTTTTTTTTGCTTTAATCCATAGACCTGAATAAGTGTATTTTGTCGGATCGACGCGAGATGGCGCCTCTGGCGCCACGTTATTTACCACGCCTTAAACCGGTACTTATTATGTCAAAATATCTGATGTGTGGAGGGAAGGATGGGTCCCCGAGTACCACCCTTATGTCGCGAGTCAGGAGTGTTTCCTGAAGGAAGTGATTAGAAGTTAAGCGCGAGGAAACAGTGTACACCCCATAGGGAGGTTGAGCCGAGCGGGCATGACTACCCGAGGAGGGCCGAGCTTCAGGGAGCATTGGGGAGCTGTGGAGAGCTCAGGATAGCATTCGCTAACCGAGGCAACGAGGTTCAGTACCCTCTACGCCCTCGTGCCGAATCACCGTCCGTCCCGCTCAGGACCGCATTCGCAAACCGAGGCCACGAGATTCCTTACCCTCTACGCCCTCGTGCCGAATCACCGTCCAGACGGTTAACTTGCCCGGCTCGGGTATTGTCCCTGTCCCCTGTGTCCCCGTTCGCGTCTGGTAATCGCGGTCGATATTCGGTTCATATGTACTGAAGCTTTCTTGGCTGTTACATTCAGTTGCTTTACGACGGGCCAGATTGCCCTGATTGGTCTGACAGAGAAACTAAGTTGTGTCGCTGAAGCCAGTGTCTCACATTAAAGTTTGGCTGCATCTGCGATCTTGAGTTTTCGTTGGGTTCGCCCCGCTCGTACGGCCTCATTTACGGCCACAGCTACCACAAGTGTCGGCATCCGGTCCGCGGACTGGAGGACGGACCTCGCCAGTACCCCGCACGACTCCGGATTCAGTACTCCGGGCGGGTACCTGACGATATAGGCCGCCAAGGCCGTCACATTTACTTGCAGAGTGGTAAACGCGTGGAATGCTTTAGATGACGAAGTAGTGGCTGCCCCTTCTGTGACTATCTTTAAGAAGAAACTGGATGGTTTCATGGACAGGCAAAGCGGTGGGGGGCAATGTTGACGTTAGGTACTAGACAGTAAGCAACTAGGATAGTCAAAAAACAAAAGAAAACAAAGCAAAAATACAAAAATATTTAGTTTAAGAGGGTTAGGCCTACCCTAAAATTAAGGAACGCTCGACCTCGACAAGTGATATCGAAATGGGCGAAATCGCCTCTTGATATCACTAACAACAGGTATCTTGAATCTTGAATCTTGAGAAAATCTTGAATCTGTGAAAGCATCACACAAAATGCGCATTGAAAAGTATGTCCTTTTGGGCGACACTGTAGGCCTATATATATCCATTCCAAACAGCATGTTGCCAACTCACATGGTTGGCCTAAGTTGGCTATGGGCCTTGTGGTGGCGTAGGACATCGTCGCTGTGGGCTGCCAATGTTGGTTGTATCTCTGGGCTTTCCAGTTTTAGGTGCTACTGGGTGTAACAGCAGATATTGACCAAATGCTGGATCAACATTGGGCACGTTGGCAGCACCTTGGCCAATATTGCTAATATCGGCTAAATATTGGGGACCCTATATTGTAATTCTATTATCGATCCAACAAACGGACCGACAAGATAATCCAATGTGTCTAAGTTGCACTTAAACGATTTTGGGAAATCTTTAAGTTCTCCTTCAGGCCACTAGAAGAAGGTATAGGTCTCTTTTTCGCATAGTACACAGAAGTTCCCTTCCCTGTTTCTCAGTAATTGTCCCTCAAAGGAGTGCTTTGTATTTCGCCATATGTTTCGCCAAATATTCATTATAAAAATCAGTAAACTCGGACATTTCATCATTTGCTATCCGTATATTCGAGAAATAATCATGGAGCCCATGTCATAAACAAGCTCATATTCCCTATGAGAACCCTTTTCTGAGATAGATTTTCCACAAAGATTCCACCTTTTCGAGTCGCCTTCCTTGCAAAGAACCCGGGTATGTAGCCTTAGGTAGTATCAGGGATGTTACTCGGTTTCACACACACGACGGGAACCCTCCACTCAAACACAGACTTTGCACTCTGAGACAGGAGGCAATATGGGTAAAAAAAAAAGAAACGTATCAGGATTGGCAAAACTAGTCGTGGTGTCGAACATATATAAAATACTCTAATTAATGACTTTAATATAGACATGGGAACTTTTTGGGCTTTTGGCAATTATTCGAAATTTATTTTATTCGAGACGTTATGGAAGACACAAACTTCAAATTTCCTCTATGCCAACAATGTCTCGCGAGATACATTAAGAGTTGCCCTTCCAATTGAAAGATATTCCAGATCGGTCGTTCTGTCAACACAGGGGCTAGAAAAGGAAAGCTTCCCTAGAAGTCAAGAGAAAAAAGATTTCCAGTAGAAAGCTTGTAAATTTCAGAATTTATGTTGGTTTGCCATGGTTTTAAAAGCAACTGCCTATCAATGATGACTTTTCTTGGCCTTTGTGGCGACGTTCTACGTACGGTGATGTAGAAGTCATCTTCATCGCAGGTGTCGATGGCTGCAAATTTAGAATCCCAGTTGGGAAGAAGCAGGAGACTACGCTTCTCCTCAAGCATCAGAACTGAGAGCAGGTGGTTTCCGTTGAGCAAAGGGTGACGCACAGCCAGGACCGTTTCGTTTAGTTCCGGGACATAAGTTTTATGCGTAAAATAAGGATTTTAAAATATAAAAAATATAAAAAAGGTGATTAAGAGATAGAATGCCTCTATGTACAGTACATGGTTTCCATGCTTCTGAGAATGGACGTTTCTGCAATGCCAACATGAAATACGTGGGAAGACAGAAAAAAAGCACCTACGTCTTTTCGAAATTATAATGTCAAGTTCTGGGATATTGAACTAACGGAAAGGATTCATCTTGCTCAACAAAATATATAGGCGATAAATCTAAAGAGGTATTGATCATCAATTCGGGATCTGAGCGACAATAGAAGATGTGCCAGGGAAAAGCTGAAGCACGATTTCGTAGTCCAATAACAATTTAAAAAAAAATTCATTTGAAATGCAGTTAAAAATTGATTATACTATTACAAACTGCTTATTTAGAAAAGTCAAATGAATATCCTTCTAAACTTTTTGTTGAAGTAAGGATCTGGACAGCTACGAGATTCAGTAATATGAAAACAAGAAATACGCAATGTAAAATAATCCCTTTTGATGAATGTTCAATAAGTATCCATGGTATGTTTAGAGATTGTTTGAACTTGTGTCAGATAAGGCAAAAATTTCCATTCGTAAATAACCGCACAATTGCTCAAGCAACATTGCGTTCGCAACGCCTGGAGCGTCTAATGAAACCCTGCGAGTTATAATTCTTTTTCTTTTTTACTGCTGAATGTGCATCGCCTATCTTAATTCATTCCCGATTCGGGCGCTGTTTATACCAGCAATTATCGCACCAACAACGGCCTCGAGTGTAGGAATGGTGCATACGTTTCCGAAGCAGACGTGAGAGTTTGAAGGATGACACACACTCATCGTACAGAACTGACCCTTCCCCTTGCGACTTTCTCTTGTTCGGTCCATTGAAACGGACTTTGGGTGGGCAGAGTTTCCGCACGGATGACGAATTACAGGGGGCGGTCATATTGTGGGGCAAACTGCAACCATGGAAAATATATGAGGCTGATGAGGAAAAAATTATTGAGACGCGTTTGGATCTTTGCCTCAACAAACGTAAGAAATACTCTAAGAAACAGAACTCTTACAGCCAGAAAAAATGTATTTTTTTTCATTCGCCTGACCCGTGTATTACGACGACTAAGGCCAAAAGTAACAGTTGGTTCTGACAACGATGGGTGATACAAAATGCATTTGAAGTCAATGAATGGTTTTTAATGAATATCAACGACAGAGAAAAATTTCAAGAATTTAGAAGGTGAAGGCACGTATTTCTCCGAGTAAAAATGTCAGCAATAATGTTACTTTTCAAGTAAATCCCCTGAGGGAACATTCTTGCAAAAGGCGCATTTTAGGGAAACTTTTCCCATCAAACGAATGATAGAACTAAAGAAAGTTGAAACTTGGAGCTGAAGAACTTGTTGGATTGCTGCGTCCATGTCCTACTTTTCAAATATGACCCCTTAGGACAGATTATGAAGAGATTTGATGTTAGGCAGACAAGAAAGAATCAGAGTTATTATTTTGATGAAAATATCTGTTCGTCCTCTCTCCGTACACATTTTGACTAGCAAAAACCTTCAATGCGCTTTTTTTAAAATGAAATTAATGAATGAATCACTATGCTGCACAATGGAGCGCCGAATTCGCGATCATGGTGAGTTTGTTTGCCAGAGGTGTAAAAAAAACTCACTAATCATAAAATACAATTATTGGGACATATAATGCCTCCTATTGGTACCGTGAAGAAGGTCTGTCCATCCTTGATCCATCCGACGACAATGTCAGATCCAGTCATGGCACCGTTGGCCGAGAAACCTAACCCGGCCCATCCCTGAGTCTTCGTATGCAGCTCGAATGTGATCTCCCCATTCTCCAAATTCGCAGTCCAGAATAAATTCACGATCCCATCTCGATCCAAGGTCTCATGTCTCTCCCATGTCTGAGTCTGAACCAGAACAAGGGGGACCAGGAATAGAAGAACCTGCCTCACACCAGTCCGCATTGCTTCCATCCAGAGATATGACTACCCCGAGAAACGTCCAGAGTGCTTTTCCCTACATCCTTGAGAAAAACTGCATGTGTCCTAACTACGTAAACAATATTTCGCAACTGGATATTGTCAGCAGAAGGTGACTATCGCAAGGGAAATTCCGCACTTTGGATTCTTCTACTAATGAAAATTATCATACAATTCCCAATCATCTCTTTTATGGCAAATCAAGAGCTCTTGTTTATGCATACCCCACTCAAAGATTGTTCTGTAATGTAATAAATTGTATCTCTTGGGATAATTGCTGGCTATTATGAAGCAAGATAATTTCCATTTCAATCACGAAAGAGCTCAAAAATGCAAAAATGCATACTATTCTGATAGCGGCTTTAATTCAAGTATGAAAGGGCTAAATAACAGTAGTTCTTCCATGCGCTTTTACTGCTCATCATCAGCAATTATGAGAAATCCGAGTTCCTTGACGCTCTACATTTGGAGGCTGTCGGCGCCTGCTTCTTTTCTGGAGAACATCGGCTAATTCAACACTATATATTTGAGATACATGCAATATTGAGTATGATAGAAGTATGCAATATTCTCCTCTGAAAAATGTCCCGTTTCTGCCCTTGCTATTCAACATCCTCGATCCTATCATTTGTGGGGGCGTTGACTTCACATTCAAAACGACGAGCAAAAGTACTGCAAGGTGCTGGCCGATGAGCAACCTCAAAACAAAAGGATGGGCATTTGACAACTCAAAGCCAGCCGATTTGGATTGTGGACGCACTTGGTGTATGTTGGGAATTGTTGTGGTTTCGCGATGAATTGTTTGTTTGTTGTTTCACCCTTTTCATGGAAACCACTATTTTCTTTTGGCTTATCAACACCAGCGGACCGAATGTTTCATCCAATCTTGTAGAGGTGGCCGATATATGTCTGCAAAGGTGAAATGCCAGTAGCGTCATTGCCTTCATGGGGATCTGTGAAGTCGCGAAAACTGTTTAAGACCCTGTGAAACCATGGTTGGGGATGCCCTTTCCAACTCCTTCCTATGCAGCACCTCATATCACTACAGATGTGCATGATGCGTGGTAGGGCCTCAATTCACTTCACTGTGGCTTATTGAAAAAGAAACCCGCTTGAATATGCTTTTGATAAAAGATCAATGCTAGAACGATTGGCTATTCTACAGGGTGAGTCAAAAGTCCCCTCCACCTTTTGACCGTTCATATCTCGTGACTGAGTCATCGGATTTAATTCCGGTTTGGATCATTCGAAAGACAAGACAATTCTCTATAAGAACCGCTACATCTTCACTTTAAACAAAGGCAAAAACCCACATTTCTAAGGAAACAAAAATTAATCTTTCAATTGACGACCATAGAGATCAATCAGTCGATGAGCGCGTTGTGTGACGGATTCCGTCGCACGTGCAATCATGTCCCTTGGGATTCCATTCATCTTTTCATGGATCACCGTCTTCAAGTCCTCCATGCTGTGTGGTTTCTCTGCGTAGACAAGGTCCTTGAGGTAGCCCCAAAGCCAAAAATCAGGCGGTGTTAAATCAGGGCTACGAGGTGGCCATTCGATTGGTCCTCTACGTCCAATTCATCTTCCTTCAAATTTGCCGTTTAACCATTTACGCACTTGACGAGAATAGTGAGTGGGTGCTCCATCTTGTTGGAAAAACAAGACATCAACGTCACTGCGAGCTGCAATCGCTGGCCACATCTGGTTTTCCAACATGCTGAGATACTGGTCGCCATCCACAGCGCCATCTTCAAAGAATGGTCCTACGAACTCGTCTCAAATAATTCCTGCCCATACCATGAGACCAGGAGATTGGAAAGGACAAGCGACAGTTTCATGAGGGTTGATGTTGCTCCAAATGATGCAATTGTGGCGATTGACATGACCACTCAAGCGAAAGATTGCCTCATCCGATCAGAGCACGTGCTTGCCAAATGTCGGATCTTGATCGATCCATCGAATCCATTCTACTTCGAACTCCACACGCCTGTCGAAGTCGCCTTCAGAAAGTTCTCGAACAAGACATGGAACATATGACTTCAGCTTGAGATCATCCCGTAAAATTCTTTCGACCGACGACTGAGAGATTGTAGTCTCGGCTGACATACGTCGCGTTGACTTTCCAGACGATTAAGAAATCGTATTGCTGACCATAACAATATTTTCCTCAGAACGAAATGTCCTTGGGCGTCCAGAGCAGGGAAGGTCAGTGACTGTGCCCGTTTTGTCAAAGTTCGAGTTGATACGGACGATCGAATTCCGGCTGACAGTTTCTGCATTGAATTTCCTCCTGAATTGTCGAGCAGTTTCCGCTGCGTTCTGGTCGAATTTGGAATAAAGGCGAATAATTACAACTCGCATATCAACACTCAGTCGTTTCTCGCTCATTTTCAAGTAAGTGTTCCAGGGATATCAATCACGAAGGACATAGTTCATCAGACACTCAATCAAACCCAGCACGCAGACATGGTTTCAAGTATGAACATGTTTAAATACCAAAAAGATATGTTTGATTTACCTTCGCCCAATTGTTACATAATGAAAATAATAAAATGAAATCCAGCCAATAAATAAAGATTTGACTTGTCTTTCGAATGGTGCAAACCGCATTTTAATCCGATCAGGCATTCCAAAGTTATTAACATTCAAAGAGCGGAGGGGACTTTTGACTCGCCCTGTATATTGATTTCTTTTGTATATGTATAAAATAATACAATGAAGTGATGCTGAATGACAGAAACGAATGAAGAAAAGCATAAGCAAGAAGGGAAGTATGATGAAAGTATCATGTACATAGCCTTGCATAACCTTTTGCTAAGGGGGTACACCGATATGGAGTATCAAAAATGTGTTACTAGCGAGTAACGAGTAACGTAACGAGTTTGTTTGCCCTTCGGGCAAACCAATTCGTTACGGTCACGCCTTCGGCGCGCCATTACCTTGAATTGTGATTAATTAATTTATTCTTTGCGAAACAGAAAACACGTATTTAAAGTATGTACCCATCGAATTACGTGACATGGGGATGAAAGCCTTGATTTTTTATCAAAATCATTACTTCTATGATTTCTAGCGTGCATAACTAGAAAATTTTTCTTGTGTCTCTTTTCGTAAGGTGGAGAATACATTTTGAAGTACTTCATAATATCTACGCTATGGAGACATATTTCTAAAGTAGCATTTTTTTGTACTCAGCCATCAAATGGGTACTTCTGAGGGAAGTTTGAATTTTATGTATCTTTTTCTTGGATCAAAAAAATCAGGAAAATGTGACTAAAATAAGTGCCCTGACGGGGTTTAACGATTTTTTTCTTTTGAAATGTAGGCTTAAGGAACTCCATACCACCCGTTTTCAGCCTTATACGTTTCCCCTTTTTGCTGGCGGAAAAAATGTATTTTGTAAAGCGACCCACTCAAAAGCTGTGCTCTGGGGAAAAATGCAACTTTTGCACAGCAAAAGTTGCATTTTTCCTCTATCCTTTGAGGCGAGGTGGTTACACCGTGTAACCACCTTTACTTTATTTTACATTATTTTCTCCCTGCCCTAGGAACGGTGATTTGAAGCCGAAACCACTTGTAATGGCTGACCACAGATCTAGGGGTATAATTCGAAACTTTAAAATCACTTTCTTGGAATTGACAGGTTATATGAAAGAAAAATTATGACATCAGAAATTGTAAATTCGTGGCTCAAAGGGTTAAATCAACATCACGTCCGTTATGCGTGCGCCAGTTATTTTTCTATTTCGGCCCGATTCAGTAAGATATGAAAAATTATTTGAAAACGTTACATTCCCAAGAAATATGAACCTCAAACATATATTTAAAATTTTACGTTTGACATTTGAGGTCAGTTCGCCAGTGGTCACGTCCTTGCCATGTTTCACCTTTCCATGTATCTCCGTTTGATTGAAGCGAAGCGAACTATTTAAAAATATGTTCCGGGAATACGTGTGCCCCTATGACATGTATCACCAAAGTATAACTCTTCCTAAACTTGGCATGCGAATAGCTACTTATGTCAGTAAGCTACTCAAGATCGTCTATACATAATACAATTAAAATTTTTTCCTTACTTAGCTATCTATTTGGTACTTCTTGCCAAGTTTAAACTTTTAGCGTAGCGTCCTCTGTTTTGCTGGATCAGAAAAATTGGGAAAATATGCCTTTTGCAAAATATGTGCCCTGAGCCGTTTTAATCGAAAAGTACCATTTTTTTTACCGAAATTCAACCTCAGTAAACTACATGTCCAGTAAGGTTCAATGTTATGCGGTTGCCCTTTTCGTTGGTGAAAAAAACATTTGGAATAGCCCACCCACCCAAAAGCTGCCCAGAGGGGATGCACCATGAAAGCTGAATACTCCCTCATCTGAATAATATCATGTCACTTATACGTGTGCCAAGGTTCTCCTTTCCATTTATGTCCAATTCGCCACGGCAATTTTTTATTTCAAAACATCGCCCTTCGAAGAAATTCCCCTAGGGGATGTGTCGAGACTTAACATTTTTCTTTAACTTCTTGTCTAAATTAGTTGGAAAAATTATATGAAACCATCTCCCTTTGAAATTTGTGCCCCAAGGGCATTTAATTCCAAAGTCTGAATTTTTCTGCAGCATCCCAATAGGTAGTTATGCATGTTTCATCTTTCCACACTAGCTCAATACGCCAGGGAAAAAAATACTTGGAAACGTCGGCCCCAAATATATCCCCCCCCCAAGGGCATGAATCTAATTTTTTTCTTTTTTCCTGAACTACTTACCGAGAAGCAAGGGTGACAGGCGCAACGTTTAGCAATTGAAAGTGAATTGCTCACCACTGCATCGTTGTGAGAGATTGGGTTACTGACATCTGGAACAATGGATACGAATCTTGTTTAAACGAAATTTGGTGACGATAGACCCGAAAAATTACGAGAGAAAAAACATTGTGATGGAGAACAGTGGGGAAAGAGAAAGGAAAAAACACTGTGGCAAAATACATCTCAAGGAG